GTGATATGCTAGCGAGTACAGGGTGTCAATAGTGCAAAAGCCGATGCCCTACCAGCAGGATCCAATAGGTCCTCTTTCCCACTTCATCTGAGCGGAATTTGGTGAACTTAATTGCTGTCTACTGAACCTGGAGGCCCAGGAGAATAGGTGGGATTCTGTGGGCCAAACCACCCCGAAGAGGAAAGGGAGAGGGCCTAAAGGGAAGGGGTTTGTGGCCCACTGACTGCAAAAAGGGTCAGATATGTGGAACTTTCCTGTGATGCTGAGTGAGGGCCACGTCTATTGAAGAGATATTGGTTGAGAGAAGCCAAGTCAAATGGTAGAGAGACTCTAGTCCTGAACATTCCTGTGAATGTTCTCTAAAAGGATGAGAAGGCATGACTGGAATCTGAAGTAAACGGCTTTGAAATTCTTCTGGATCTTGGGTGTGTGAGTGACTTGTTTAAGAATGGGCTGCCCCACCCTCTTCCGCTGTAGTGTGGGTGCGGAGAGCACCCTGTGGGCTACAATTCTTAAATCCAGCTGAGTGAGGGGATTCTCAGCAGGAACTCTGTTGACCCACACAAGGAAAATTTCCCTTGACATTCGACTCTAAAAACCTGTATTTTACCCTTGTACCACTTATTACTCTTATAATTTCTAATTTAACGTCTCTCTTCCAGATATTAAAACACCCTGAGGGTAGGAGGGCACAGATCCCATTGTCTAAGTCAATGCTATACATTCAGTTCTTAAAACATTCTCAACACATAGTAGGTACTCAATAAAAGAATGGCTTTTGATGATGCTAATGAAGGGACTGAAATCCAATGCAATTGGGATCCCTCCCTGAGCACCCAGAACATTCCAGAGGTTCAGGGCCACCTCTGTCTCGTCTCTGCTTGCATTAGCCTCAGGGCTTGACCTGGGCACCTGATTTACTCAGGCTTTGAGCACTCCACCCAGGCCACTCACTGCTACTAGCTGCTCAGACTGACAACCCAGCCCAGTGCCTCAGTCATTACGACTCCTCATAACAGTCCAAGCCACAGATATGCTCACTCTGCACATATAGTCACTACACGCGCTGACAGCTGATACCACCTCCTCTGAAGAAAAGACAAGCACATACCTCGTTGCAGGCCTTTCCTTCTAGATATTTTCCAGTTGCCTCCCTCTTCTCCAGCGCCACCTCTTCCTCTTCCTCTTAGTGGACCTTTGGGCCTAGATATAAAACCCCTTTTTATGAGCAATCTCTTCCCTAAATGCAGTACCTCCACTTCCTTTCTCTTTCCTGAGGACTCCCTGGGAAGGGGATGGGCTGGGAGAGGCTGCTCAGTGTTGAGCATACCCGGTATTCCAGGGCAACTTGAGGAGAGATTCCCCCACATTGCCTGAAGTATTCCAGGTCAACTGTCCTCCGTCCTCCCCTAAACCTCCACACTTCTTGGCAGCTCGTCTCTTCTGGCTGACCCATCCTACCCTTCCTCAGTGCTGTCAGCTGCAGACATCCTGGCTGTACCCCCCTTCCCTCAAGGGATCTGGTAATTTGTTCACGGTCTTCCTCTCCACCTCATGTCTTGTGGCATCAGGTTGGCAGCAAAGCTGCAGTGGACATCTGTCTGACACTCTGGGCTTGGAATTCTTGACCTTCTTATCAATAGAGCTTTTTACCTCTTCACTCTGGCTGCCCACTGATTCTCTCCCCAACCTCCCTGCAAGCTTTTTGCAGGGGCCATGTCTAAGTCATTTTAAGTTCTGAGACCCAGGACAGTGTTTGGCTTACAGTAAGGCTCTCCAAAAAGTGTTTGAGGGAATGGATAAGTAAAGGAACATATGAAAGTAAGTGCCTCATCCACATTCAAGGTACTGAAGTAATACACTAGCTTAATAATTCAGAGAGACTGCACTAATCAAGTTACAATGCTCTTATCTCTTATTTGCTTTAATTATTGGTGCAAGTACCTTAGGTAGAGGATGCTAGTATTATTAATAATTTTAAAGACTGTAATTCAATTCAATGAAAGGATGCCCCACTTGATTCATGACTGTTAATGTTAGATCTATGTGTGGGTCTTTTACAAGGAAATATCTAATGATTATGGAGAGTTAGAGATAGGGACTGATTTGAAATGTGATGAGAAGTAATCATGGACAGTTTCATGGTGGCCAGGCCTCTGGGTTCCTTTCCGTGATCTGGGATCTAAAATTGGTAATCAAGTAAAATATGAATAAACAAAAAAAAATACAGGACAAGGGACCATTTTATTTCTCTTAAAGCTTACTCAGGCAAAGACCACCAGGGACAAGCCTGTAGTCCAACAAAATCAGGTTTATCGACCTGATGCCATGAGCGGGGTGAAGTGCTTCTAATTAAGAGGGGGAGCTTTAGAAGGTCAAGTCCTCTGCTGAAGGATCTGAGGACGGTCCAAAGGAAGGGGATCAGTACTGTACTGGTTGCAGTTGCCGAGGCAGAATTATAAGAAGTGGGGACTAACCAGGGGTTGAGTACCATCATGAGCAAGGATGGCTCAGCATTTGGGAATCCCTTAAAAGATGGATGTAGTAAGGAAGGTTCAGCCTTACTACATCCATCTTTGATAAGAAAGTAGTGGTCATTCAAAGTGGGTATTGTCATGGCATTTTACAGCTGCAGCCAGACCTTGGGAAAAAGATTGTTCTCTGTGAACTGTGCATTTGCATTTGGCTTTATCTCAATCTGTCCTCTGAATCTGAGCCTGGTTAACAGCAGGGCTCATTTCGGCTCTTTCAGTCCCAGACAAGTTTTAGTTCTTTCATTTAACTGGATTTAGCCAAAGTTTAATTATTCCCTTTTAAATCACTCTAAAGCCAAATAAATGTCCACATCTCCTTCTACAGCTATGACTATCAACCACACACAGAAGCAAAATCCTGCAAAGCGTAAGGCAGCATGTTCAGGACAACTGTACGGTGGTTCACTAAAACAATTGGAGCTAAATAAATTTCAGACTAAAATCAGAGATGACTTATTCCTAGCAAAAGTAGAGCGAGCACCTACTTGCTGTGGCACGGCCACCTGCATGTGATTGCTACTGGGGAACTCTTTTCCCTATTAAGGCCCTAAAACATTCCCTGAGAGGAAGGACTTGTTAGCTTCTTTTCTCTCAGTTCTTACAAAAAAAAAAAAAAAAAAGGAAACCTATTAAGAGTCTGAACACATTAATACCCAGCTTTTATAGCTGATAAGAAACAACTCATATTCTAGTGGTTCTCAAACTCTAATATGCTTCAGAAACACTTGCAGGGCTTGCTGGAAACCAGGCTGCAGTACTCCAATCAAGAGATTCTGATTCAGTAGATCTGAAGTGGCACCCAAAATTCACATTGTTAGCAAGTTCCCAGGTGATACTGATGGTGCTGACGCAAGGACCACATTTTGGGAACCATTTCTCTAACTCAACTCTTCCTCAATGCCTCCACCTTCCATACTTTTGCACTTTCTGTTCCTCCTGCTTGAAAGGCCTTCCTGCTCTGCATGTAAATCGTTGCTTGTCTTAATTTAAGTCCTAGCCTCCTTGCTTGGCTATTGCATTAGTTAGTTATTGCCATGTAACAAATTATACCAAGAAGGACCTCAGAACGGTAGCATGAGGTGTTCAGGGAAACCATTACCCAAAAGAGACACCCATTAAGCTGGTGAAGATTAATGAAGACAACCATTCAAAATCTTCAGAGGTTGATCAAAGGGTTTAGAACAGGTTGAGAAACATCAATTTAACACAATCTGTGGAAACTTAGTTGGAACAGTGAAAATCCATGGTATTGAAGCTGGGGACTGCATCTATCTCCTCACCGCTCTGCCTTACTGAAGAGCTGTTCCAATGAGCTCAGCAATCAAGCAACAGTTCACAAAGTCAATAAAAAGTAAAACCTCCCTTTCCTCCATAGCTTGTGTCACCGTAGAGATGCTCTCACGGGCTCAACAGATGAATGACAGCTCCCATCTTGCCCAGCTTTCTAGGGCCAAAGATGAATAGGTTTGGCAACCAGTGAATTTCAGAGCTCATCCTCTTTGGATCTGTGCCACAGAAGATTCATAGTGGGGACACACTTGAGAGTGGCTGCAACCTGGTATAGGAACACTTTCCAGCACCACTTCTACTCCTACCTTGCCTCACCACTAACACACACACAGCTCCAGGTCTATAAGGAGGATCCAGGTGGAGTAGTCAGTCAAGACTGATTTCCCCACTCCAAGCCATGGAGGCTCCAGCTCCAGCATCAGAGCCTCCATGGCTTGGAGGCTCCGCCCAGGGGGAGGAAGGCAGAGAAAAGTCTCAAAGAAAGGCAACTGCCACCCTAGGTGTCCAGGGAGGGATACTGATTTAACTCAAATTCATAGGGCTGCATAGGCAGAAGCTGGGCACCTAGTAGCTGCATTTTACAATTCAGACTGTAGATTTTTATTCAGGGCCTCCTGTGTGCCCACACAGGGCTAAGGACTTTTGCATATATGGATCACCTGAGGCTCAACCAGGTGAAATGACTTTCACCTTTTTGGTTGTTTTGTCTGTTGTGATCACTGCTATATTTGCAGAGCCTAAAATAGTGCCTGATACAAAACAGACCTCAATAAATATGTCTTAATAAAGGAATTGCCTTATCCGACGCTGAAATGATAGTTTTAACTCCAGGTGACCCTGTAACTCTGTATCACTGAAATATTTCTATTTCTGACTTCTTGAGCCTCGACCTCTTTTGCACAATTAGGACAATTAGGTCTAGGGGTGGATAGATAACGTGCACTACCACTGATACCTCCTCCACTCAGCCCCCTGCTCCAAGGCCGAAGACCAACCCTAATAAGGCAGTGCCCAAGGTTGCCTCTGGATCACGTGACTCGAGACACTGCCAGACCATAAGTGTCTCCAAGTTTCGCCTGTGTTCGCAGCGGCGCTGGTTTCTTGAGAAGCGGGCGCAGACGCAGAGGCCTCGCTTGCTCCGTGTCTCCGCCCAACTCACTTCTGGCGGGCGGGGCGAAAGCCGGGCTGGGTGACGAGGCCGGACGGCAGCTGCGCGCATGCGCAGAAGAAAAGCGAGGGGCCCAAGCTCCGCGGCCGGCCTGGCTTGAGCAATTTTGACAAGATGCAAGTGAGTAAGCTGTAGGGGGACACACGGCTTGTAGGTTGCGGCCGGTCGTTTGCCCTGCCGGGTCCGTCCCGGCGGTGCTCTGTCCCGTCCGGCTCAGTGGGAAGCGCCAAGCGCCACAGGCACCCGGGAGAGCTCGCTAGCTGAGGCCCGGCGCAGTGCGGGAGGGCGGGTGTGGTCCCACCGGCTGGGCCTCTCCACCTCGGTATCTCCGTCCTTTGTGGCTGCATCTCGTTGAGATCTTACTCCGCCCGACAAGGTTACCTCTTACTTATTAACCCTCTTAGTGAACACCTGAGCAGGCGTGTTATAGACCCTTTGCGCGGATCGGGAAGCTGAGGTTTGGGAAAGTGGAGGGTCCCCCCTAGGGATCCCATAACATAAAGCAGTGGTGGAATCCCTGTTCCTGACTTTATTGAGATCTGGGGGAGGTGTTAATTACACTCTTACCCCTAATGTTGGTGCTCAGGTTTAGGCAGGTTCTCCTGGCTTCCAGAGCTCAGCCCTAGGGTCTCCTCTTTTCAGTTACTATCTGTCTTAAAACAAGATCCCCTAGCATTGTCCTTTTATTGTCTCTGGAATATGACTAAAATCCAAAGAAAATGAATGAAGACACAGTGGAAATGGATGCTTTTATGAACAAAAACACCTGACAACTAAGTTGTCAGGGGCCATCCTCCAAAGGTCATTCTGCTGCCTTCCAGAACTCGCTGTGGTCAGGAATTCTGATTTCTGGCTCAGTGGAAAATGGGAAATGGAGTTAGTGTGGGTTTGGTTGGGGCTGGAGAGGATGATCCTCTGCAAATACAGTGTGTCTGCCACAAACCAGACTCTTAAATGGTTATGAGGAAGCCCCAGGGCTGCTTTCCTTGGCACTCCTTGATTACAAATGTCAGACCAGGTCCATTAACGATGTTCCTGCCAAGCTATGCAAAACTGGTGTTTGAGCAGTGGGGTTCTGGAGCTAAGAGACCACTGTGGCATTTATCCTTCTTACATTTGATCCTGGTAAATTTGACTTGTTCCAGCATGGCAAAGGCTTCCTAAATGTCGTGTCCCTCCTAGGGTTCTTAGGTTTAACCAAGTAGATACAGGTAAAGGGCTTAGAAAAGTATCCTGCACCTGGAATTCATTATCTGTTAGCCATTGTGAGCTATTCCATGGGGCCTCAGCTCTGTTTCTCAGGCTAGGCCATTAGAGGATTTGTCAGCCTAGCATCAGGCTCTCCTCCTTCTGATGCTTCTGATCCCACTGCACCCCAAGTGCCCAAGGTTGGCTCTGGATCACGTGATACTTTGAGGTACTCAGTATTGCTGCTCTTGGGCCCTCTGAACATTCTTGTGTCTCTGCCTAAAAAGTAATTTCCTAAGTTCCCACTCATCTGTCTGATTTCTTCTCACTCTCCAGAGGTGGTTAAATGTCACCTCTTCTGGGGGAACATGCCTACCCATTCTATGGAATTCAGCCCCCCTGTGACTGTATAGGTCAGCAGCCTGTCAGTCATAGCATTTGCCACAGTCTGTAATATGTATCTGATTGTTTAATGCCTGACACTTCTTCTTGACTGTAAAATAGATGGCTCTAGCATCCACCACTCTTCCCTACTGTTGCAACAATTTACATATAGTACATAGTTAATAAATATCTGTTGAGTATTGAACAAATTCTAAGTCAGAACCTTGGTTCCAGTATTGAAGCCAATCTGCACATCATGTCTTGATTTTTACCCCAAGATTGACTACTCAGTGGTGGGGGTTGGGGGAGCAGAAGGGAATACAGGAAGAATGGAACAGGGGCTATAGGTCTTTTGACACTTTCTCACAAACAGAGCACAGAATAATTTGAATTTTTCTTCCCACCACCTTTCCTATTTGACCCCTTGCCCAGCATAGCAATCTCCATAGTGGACTTTGCACTCATGGTCTATACCCTTGGTCCCTCTGCTTTAGGACCCCAACGCAGACACTGAATGGAATGACATCTTACGCAAAAAGGGCATCTTGCCCTCAAAGAAAAGTTTGAATGAACTGGAAAAGGAGGCGGAAGAGGAAGAAGAGCGAGTCCTCCAGCAGTCAGTTGGTTAGCTTGCTTTTACTCTTTTCTGTTCTGTATCTTTCTGGGTAGGAAACAACTTTCTAAGCCTCTAAACTGCTTTGGTCAAAGGATCCTCTGAGCAAGAGTCAGGGAGCCTGGGATTGAAGCACTGTAATGAACATTGGGACCAACACAAGCCACAGAATGTCTCTGCCTTCAACTTCCTGGGCTGTAGAATTAGGGGACTTCAGAGGCCCCCTTCATTTCCACAGTTCCTTGTCTGTGTCAGATAAGCACATGATAATCCTGAAGGGTTGACTTTCTGGTCTGCTATTCACTTTGGATAATGTTATGGAAATTTGCTCAAAGTTTATAGTGTTTGTATTCTCTCCTTTTTTTTTTTTTTTTTTTTTCTTGAAAATTTCTACCGATCGCATTTAGAGAAAGCAAGGAAGGAGAAGAGAGGGAGATGAGTGATACAGAGAGAAACATTGATTTGTTATTCCAGTCATTTGCATTCCCTGGTTGATTCCCATGTGTACGCTGACTCGGGACGATGCTCTAAATCAACTGAGCTTTCTCCTGAGCTTATGCTGTATTGTCTTTGTGCCTTACTGAAAATATTTAAATACCTTAATTTGGGGAAGTTTAGTGTGGGGTCTGAGAAAAGCGTTTTCTCAAAGATAGTTATACCACCTGAATTGGAATTCTTAGTGTATTTGTAAAAACCCAGTTCCTACTGAAACAGAACCTCCGGGGGTGAGGCCCAAGAATCTGCATTTTAAACAAGTGCCTCCAAGGATTTCTGGCGCACACCAGAGTTTGAGAACTACTGATCAGAGAGCCAGTATTTCTGTTCCCTTTTTACATGTTAAAACTAATTTAAAGAAGAATTTGTTACAAAGCATTTATCTAGTGAGTGTTTATTGAATGATTACTGGGTGCCAGGTGGTGTTGTAGGCAGTGGGGCTTTAGCCACCCACAGGCCAGACAACAAATCCCTGTCCCGGTGGAACTTAAATTGCAATGAGAGACAGACAGTAAATGATACAGAAGTGAAATATAGGAAAATAAGGCAGGGAAAGGGCCTTGGAAGGGTTGGAGGAGAGGGTTGGAAGAGTACAATTGCAGACAGGGTCGGAGAGGATCTCACTAGCAATGACATGGGGGTAGGCCCAAGGGGAGGGAACTGAGCTACTTCAGCAAGTGAAAAGCATGTTGGAAAATCTGCAAGGAGGTCAGTATGGTTGGGAGAGTGGAGTGGTAAGTTCAGAGAGGTAACCAGGGGTCAGGGCATTTATAACCTTGTAGCTTCTAATAAGGACCTTGGTTTTATGTAATGAGTTGAAGTCATTGGGAGTTGGAACAGAGTAGTGACACATGTGCTCCATGTCGACAGTGCCATCCTGTCGCTGCCTTCCTGAGCATGGACAGTGGGGGGCAAGGCAGGAAATCGGGAGACTAGTCTGGAAACTACTGCAGTAATTTAGGCAAGAGGTCCCATTGGCTTGGACCAGAGTGGCCGTGGTGGTGGAAGCGGTGAGAAGTGATCAGATCTGGACAAATTTTGAAGGTGAGGCCAACAGGATTTGCTGATGAATCGGTCCTTTGAGGGGTGTGAGAGAAATAAGTCTAGGATGACTGCAAGGATGAGCCACTGGAAGGATGGAGTTACCTCAACCAGGATGAGGAAGGCTAAGAGAGAGTAAGTAGGTGTGGAGGTGAGGTCAGGAAGTCTGTGTGGGACATAGTAACTCTGAGTTTTTATTCGACAAATAGAGGTGGTAAGTGAGCCATTGGGTATGTTTTTCTTCAAATCAGAAAATATGGGCTGGAGTCAGACATTTAGGAATTGTCAGCATATTGGCAGTATTTAAAGCCATGAGATGCAGTCACCAAGGGAGTGGGTATAGATAAAGAAGGAAAGGAGCCAAACCAGCACAGGGTCCCAAGGAGGGCAGTCTCAGAGGTGGGAGGAGGAGAGGGCAGCCTTTCACTGAGGAGGCAGTGTTGGGTTGGACCTCATGCTCACCAGTCAAGAAATGAAGGTCATTGTGGTGGTGGTTAAGAGCAGTTCTTTGTAGTGATGGTGTGGATGTCAGGGACAAAAGCCTGATTTGATGGCAAGAAGCAAGAGTGTTGATGGCAATAAAAACAAAATACAGATGTTATAGCAGGTCCTTGGGCTTTCTGTGATGGACACCCACTGGTCTCCTCTCACCTCTTGGGTGGTAAGAGAACTGTGAAACACCTGTCCAGTAGTGTATGTGCTTGATGATCAGACCAGGTGAGTTCAGGCAAATGCAGTGTCTGTTTTCTAAACTTGGGAAATTTCTCATTCATATCCTTACTGTGATGTATAAGTAAGAGAGCCAAGCCTGCAGATATCAACATACTAGTTCTATCTTTTAATACCCTCAACTTCTTTTTACTAATATAATACCTTAAATACTTTGTATTCTGGTTTTGGTGGTCTGGGAGTCTTTGGTATTGCATGCGCATCTTTATGAGAAAAATGAAGGAAAAAAACAATGCATGTTTGTTCATCCTTTACATTTTTTGATTTTTGCTAACTTAACTACATTCAGTGAAAACTTATGAAGATATGACTTTGGAAGAATTGGAGGATAATGAAGACGAATTTAATGAGGAAGATGAACGAGCTATTGAAATGTACAGGTTAGTGCCACCCAGAGGGACTGTTTGGTTTTTTGTGTGGCACTAAAATGTGTGTCCTTCGAAAATTGTACGTTTTGACTGAGATAGCATTTGGAAAGGACCATAATTAAATAATAATATTTCAGATTCCAGATCTTAGACTTTTGTCATGCAGCAAATAAATAAAACTGGACCTTTATGAAAGTTGCTGTCTGAATTATGTGTGTGTGTGTATGTGTGTGTGTGTGTGTGTGTGTGTGTATGTATGTATTTGAGAGAGAGAGAGAGAGGTGACTCGCTCCTCCTGTTGTTCAGGCAGCAGAGACTGGCTGAGTGGAAAGCAACTCAACTGAAGAGTAAATTTGGAGACGTTTTGGAGATCTCAGGAAAGGATTATGTTCAGGAAGTTACCAAAGCTGGAGAGGGCTTGTGGGTGATCTTGCACCTTTACAAACAAGGGTGAGTGATCTTACACTTTGTCTTTAAATGCTCATTTGAATATATATCTTGAACATCCCGGGTTTAATTCACATCGGAAGGTGTTTTTTGTGTTTTTGTTGCTGATTTGCTCAAATTAATGCCTAATTTTTGTCTTAAGACTTTCAAAATAATATTTGTGACTAACACAAATGCCTTTCTTTTGGTGTAGCAATGAAGATTTGGCTTTTATTGATAATAAATTCCTAAGTTATTATCCCTCTAGAGAAACTCAGGCTTTTTAAAATTCCATGTAACGAATCACACTCGTATGTGGCGAAGGTGGCCTGTGTGTACTAACTCTCTGTGGCACGGGTACAGCTGTCCTCCAGCGTTTCTCACTCCAGCCTTGTCCCCGGCTGCAGAGTTTACAGCTCATGCAGAGGTTCTTTAGAGCAGGAAGTGCTTTCTGACCTGTTTTGCAAGTTCTAAATGTTGACTGTGCTGTCATGTATAAGGGCATAGTAATGATCTTTTACCTTAAACTGTTTTTCTGACTTATTGTTGGGTCAAATTAAATTGAATTTTGGATTTTGAGTTCTTCACTTTCCCTAAACATATCAGAGGGTTTTTTTTAAATGTGAGTTCTTTTTGGCTGGAGTAACAGAAACACTTGTGAGACTTTCCTTAGGGTAGAAAGCTGAGCTTTGTTTTGTATAAATGGAGAATCACAATTGCTTCTATTTCTGCTTTATAGGATTTTCCTGATCACCATTGTTTTCTGTTTCTATTTTATAGAATTCCCCTCTGTGCCCTGATAAATCAACACTTGAGTGGACTTGCCAGGAAGTTTCCTGACGTCAAGTTTATCAAAGCCATTTCAACAACCTGCATACCCAACTATCCTGATAGGAATCTGCCCACAATATTTGTTTACCTTGAAGGTGATATCAAGGCTCAATTTATTGGACCTCTCGTGTTTGGTGGCATGAACCTGACAAGAGATGGTAAGGGCCTCTTTGAGATGGTCCAGGGAACATGAGACGTGGCCAGTTCATGGCAGAGATGGGAAGATGCACAGTTAATCTCGCATCTTAGACTAGTCAAAGGGGACAGATACAACAGGCTCCTAGTAATTCTCAGTGAAAAGAGGCCACAATGAACTTTAAAATATATATATTTAATATTAATGTCTAATATGTTTCTTTGTCCCTGTATTTGAATGTTTTAGGTTGTAGCTCAAGATCTCATCATTTTCATTTGATTTACATGAACATACTAGGACAGGTGCATGTATATGTGTGTGCGTGTTTGTGTGTGTGTGTATATGTAAATCATCTCTATAGTAATGTTTTCTCAGTTGAATGTCTTATTAGCTTTTAAATTAAATTAAAATGTTATTTAACTCTGCCTCTTAACTCCTGATGGATGTCTTTTTATTCCTTTTTACCTGTTACACATAGAGGTGTCAAAAATGTATATACACACATAACATGAGAAAGAGACTGAGGTCTGAGGGCTTCCTGTTAAGGCAAATTCTTTATCTCTTTGTTGAAATAATGTCTAACCATGCTTTAGTATTTTTAAAAGCATGTTAAAATATGATAATATACTACTTGATGTAAATCTGTATAAGATATTCAACTGGGAAAAGTATCAACATATACACACATATATGTTACATCAGTTATTCATTATTCCAGTGTTCAAAGGCATATAGCATTTTACACTAAATATATGTTTACATCATGTTTTGGTCTCTTGACTGTACCACGAGAGAAGAAATACAGATGAACAATAGTAGTTACAGTCTTTTTTTCCAGAACAAGTCTTATTTGAGTATTAATGAACTTACTAAAACAATGATTACTGCATGAGTCAACAAGAACATTAGATACATACACTTATATGTTTGAATGTATATGTAGATTTAAATGTATTCTTGAGTCAAGGCTCAAATCTTAAGTTTGTTTTTTTCCTTAAGGAATTGGTTGAATTTTTGTAACATTTAACTGAGGTACCTAGGGCTGAAAATATTGGTGTTCTCCATCTCCATGAGCACTTTAAATTACTCTAACTTCAGTAAATTTGGTTGTCAGATTGTATTGGAAATACCTAATTAACAGAGCACCGCTTTAAATGAGGCTATTTGTTGCAGAATCTTTCATTCAGTTCCTTAATTCTGCATCAGCCCTCTCTGCAGTGGAAAAGTACATCACTTGATTTTGCATCACAAGGTCTCACACCCATCTGGAGTTTCATTGATTATAACAAGAGTTATAATCAAGAGTGAAATGCAGGAATTGAGACTTTAGTCACTGATTCTTCATTTTCTGGTACTTTAAAAAAAGAATTATTAGTTGGAACAAATGTATCTGCTCAAGGATGTCATTATACATTTATCCTTTGACCCTAATAGATTGAGATATTGAAACTGAGGTTTAAGAATTTCCTTTTGTTAACTAAAATTAGATTTAATGATTAGATAGTCAGTAGCACTGTGAAAAGTATTTCCTTTAAATGTTTCATGCTGATTTCTTTCCTGGGAAATTGTGCAGTCTGAGAAACAGAAGGAATTAGAAGTCGGGTTTAGTCTCTTTTAATTACCATATAGGTCCCAATGTATGTAAATATCTCATTTGATCTCATCTTATGGGCATGTTTCAAAGTATTTTTGTTTTCCTTCTTCAAGGTCTGGGGGTTTTTTTTCCTTCCTTCCGGATACCTTATAATTATGGTACTAAAATTAAGTTTTCATCAAATGTTGATGATTGTAGTTTCCACAAGGCAGAAAACCAACTTGATAGACTCGGGCCCGGTGCGGACTGCCTTAGGTAATTTGGTTTTACTTTATTGCTCAGAGTTGGAGTGGAAATTGTCTGAGTCTGGAGCGGTCAAGACAGACCTGGAGGAAAACCCTAAGAAACCCATTGAAGACGCCTTGCTGTCCTCGGTGCGGTGCGCCGTCCCCAGAAGAGGGGGCAGCGACTCTGAGGACGACTGAGGCTGGGCTGGGGTGGTGCGCTGAGTTTTCCCGACGTCACAAACTGTCTGGATCCTTTTAAAAAGGAAAAAGTAGGAACGAATCCTTTGGTTTTTAGCCTTTTATAATTATGTTTCAAATTTCATAGATCTCAGAAATATCATTGCTGGGAACCCTACTGAATTTCTTAGAACTCTTTTTACATTAATATTTTCTTAAAATAAAAACCAACTATGGGTATGGCAGATGTCTCTGTTTTCCTCACTTACATAACCATTCATTATTTATTTACATATAGCTACATAAAAAGGAATATGGAGTTTTTTTAAATAATGTAATTTCTACAGTGGAAAAATTGCAAACTTTGCAGTTACATTATTTATTCTTTTATAATGGTAGCAACAGGATTAATAACTCAAATGATTTATAGGAAAAAAGTCTTAGTATTTATCCTATTTAGAAGAAATAGGTGATAATTTTTATAAAAACAAAGACTGCCTTCTTAAAGCAATAACTGAAAGATCTCAATTTACTGCCATTTGTGTTGCATATTTTTTCTAGTTAAAATAATTTTTTTCTCAAACTGTTGAGATGTCAGCCAATCTCAATTCTGAAAAAAGCTAACTTAGTTTGTTTTAGATATAAACATATAAGCATGCATAGAGATAAACAGAATCTGAGTCAATTAATAAAAAACATATCAAGATATTTCTGGTCTAGAATGTTCTTAGCATTTGTCACTTCTTATCAAATCAACATTAACAAAATAATTAGAGCAAATATTATTCCGTAATATTTGTGTTGATTTATGTAGTATTTAATGCTGGATGGAATCTTAAAAATATGAATCAGAGGAGGCACAGACTTCCTTCATATTAAATTGTAAAATTTATTTTTGCTGTAATTCAAAGAATGACAAGCAGCTGTCAGGAGTGTCTGTGAATATTCGTTTTTCTACACACACACATAAAAGCCAGCACTGCTGATTTAAAAAAAAAAAAAAAGACTACTCTATATAAGTTTGTCTTCAGGATTTTTTGTGAAATCTTAATTGCCGGGTTGATACAAGCTTGGTCAGTTCTATCACTTGAACGCTGGCTCCATGGGTTTTTGTAGAAGAGCTGCTTTCATAGGTGTTCTGTTGTTAGCGGACATTGGATTGAGGTGCTGTGGGGGGCGCAGAGGAGAAAAGCTGGGGCACTGGCTGCACCCGCCCAAGAGCTGCAGTTCGCACAGCCCCCAGGAAGACAGCACAGTGCTTGGACGTTGCGGGCAGGGTGAGCAGTGTCCACGGTGATGGAGCCCATACCAGATGTAGTTCTCAGTATTTGCTGTGCCACTTGGAGCTATGTAACTGTAAATTGCCTCATGATCTTGCCTCCAGGCCAGACTAAGACACTTAGTTTGAGCTCCGTGAAAACTCAGGTGCCCATGGACTTCTCTCATGAGTCCTGTCTGGACACACGGGACCCAGGCCCCCGGCTGCTATATAGTCATGCTGACTGAACTTGGTTTAAGAGAGAGAGAGAGAGAGACTGTCTTCAGCCATATCACCCTGAATGTGCCCGATCTCATGTAAAACGAGAGAAGTATCTCTATCCTAAAATTAGTATTGTGATTTAGAACCTGACCTGCAGATTTCTGTAGGTTAATAGTTCTGAGATACTTTCCTGTAATATTCACAGATAACTCTTTTCTATTTCATATGGAACATTTGTTATGTGACGGAGGTGATACAATTTGGTGCTTAAGCATAAAGTTCATCTAATTCCACACCCAAAATACACAGTGACCAGAGAAAACAGGCAAGAATGATACCTAGTGCCTCTTCTGGGTGGAGAAATGCGCTAAGACTATAGTCACATACAACAGATTCTTCTTAATTTTCCTTGTTTGTAGAGGAGAAGAGGGATGTTGATAGATTGAGTACACTGACTTCATTGCAAACCATTGCGACTTCATTGCTTCCTGGGGGTCAGAAGTACCACAGGAAAGTTGTACTAGGAAAGGCACTTTATGAGAAATGTGAAAAGGGTGTTTAAAAGGGTATCCTCTTTCACCAATGCCTAATTTTTTTTTTTTTTGTAATTGATTACCTCCAGTTTTCAATTCCATTTTCTCATATAACAAGGCCAAATTTGGACTAAGTGCTTTTCAAGTGTGACAGGCTAAATACCGAGTATGTTGTAACTGTGTTTCCTACCTTAGAAACATGTTCTGATGAAAGTGATTTTGTCCTGCTTATAGAAACCAGTTGTTACTCATAAATACAGCCTTTTGACAAGTGGCTTTCAACATGCATTCTTGATAGTGTTTACGTTCACACAGCAGATGGTCCAGGCTCTCTGCCCTCTGTATGCTGTCCCCCACTCAGCAACGCTACAGGAGACCTTGTCACTTGAGTGCTATGAGGACTCCCCCTGGCTCTTGGTCTCACCACCCCATACCGGTATGGTAGGCTTCTTCTCTTTTCTGTTTAATCAGCCCCAATGAGATGTGCCTACTCTTGCAGTCCAAACCCTCCCTCTGTGCTCTTGACCCCTTTCTCTCCCATATTCTTTAGGGCTTTGTTCCAGTAAAGCATCGCCTTGACTTCAGCCCCTCCCTGGATGCCTAGCCTCAGGCAGTGAAAGCATTTAGGTCCTGTGGCAGAGACTGCTACATGCTTACCGAGAAGCCAGGATTCTCCAGTTCTGCTCAGGCAGCAACGGGACCAGGTACAAGATTAAACTCTCAGTGTTTCTTGGAGCTACAGATTGCCAGAGGGAGGCGGACAGAAGTGGGCTGGGAGTGCTGGGCAAGTTTCTTAAGAGAAACAACTGTCCTGTGCTCCTTTTGGGCCTAATCGCCTTCTACTTTGTGGCTGAAGCGTACTTGTGTTTGCAGCCTACTTGGCAAAGCAGTAAGGATAACGTTCCTGATGACTTTGTGGGGCCACTGTAACCCAGCTCTTGACTGCCCTCTCTGGACTTCCGTTACTGGGGAAGAAGTGACTTCCAGCCTGGTCTCTCTCAGTAGCAGCTGACACATTTCCTGATAAAGCCACCTGCCCATCACCAAAGAAAACCAGTCATTCTAGCTTTCTACTCCCCAGAATACTGGAGAAATTTGTAGAAGTCAGTGGGGAAAGTCAGATTACCTACAACACAATTACAACAAGGCTCACTGACTTCTGGAGAGCAGCAGCAAAAGCCAGAAAGACTGGAACAGTATCATCAATGGACTAAGTAAAACAACAGATATCAACCAAGAAATGTTAGTACCCAGTGAAGCTATATCTTAAGTCTGAGGGTGAAATAGACATTTCAGACAGAATAAGTTTGATATCAATAAACTCTAAATGAAGGAAATTTAGATTAACTTTTTGTAGAAGGACAATGATCTGGTGAAGGTCTGAGGTTCAAGAAAGTAAGGTGACCCCAAAAATATGGGTAAATCCGAATGAGCATTTACTTAATACAAATAATGTCTTATTTGTAACATTAAGAGCAACATAGAACTAAAAAAAATAAAAGGACAAAATAGCATTAAAATTGAAGTGGGCTTAATTAGAGTTCAAAAGTTAGACCCTTAAAAACTATTCCAGTGGTTGGCAAAGATATGTATATAAAAAATATTTACTTCAAGGTAACAGTAAAAGAAAGAGGGTATGTTACTTTTTTAACTAGTTGGGGCAGGGGTGGGGAACCTCAATTCAAAAGAAGACTAGAAGGAATAATAAAAAGAAACAAAATGCAGAACCAGTGGGGGGAGGGCAGAGACAAATGTATTTGAAAAAATAAAGAAAATAAATGAAAAAAAATGCAGAACCATAGAAAATCCAAAATAAAATGTTAGAAATAAACTGAAATAGTAATCATGATAAGTATAAAAATGGATAATAGTTTTAATAGTCTTGCCATATAACCCAGAAATCATGCATCTAGCTAATTAACCAACTGATTTGAAACATCCACACAAAAACTTGCATACAAATGTTTATAGTAGTTTTATTCATAATAACTAAAACCAAAACAACCAAAATACCAATAGATGAATCATTAAACGAATTGTGGTACTTTGATACAATGGAATATTACTCAGCAATTTTTTAAAAAAAACTATCAAGCCACACACAAAAAAGCGAATGATAAGTGAAATAAGCCAGTCTGAAGGCTGTATACTATGTTATTCTAATTATATAGTACGCTGGAGAAAGCAAACAAAGAAAAGATCAGTGGTTGCCGGGGCGGGGGGTAGTGGAGGGGGGCAGGAGGGTTGAATAGGTAAGTACATGGGATTTGGGGGGTAGTGAAACTATTGTGAATGATACAGTAATGGTGGAGATAGGACAATATGCATTTGACAAAACCTATAGACCTTTGCAGCACAGAATGAATCCTAATATATGCAAATTTAAAAATTTCAATTTGGGAGTTATGGCATCCCTGGACATAACTCAGGATGTGACAAAACAACCTAACTATATTATAAATGTATGAAACAACCTAAGGCACAGGACTGAGGGAAAGGTTCTGACCTAAGTAACTGTGAAATAAATGGAGTCAAGATTGAAAGGCAAAAGAAACTGCATAGGCATTGTCCTCTCGTTGATAAAGTTATTTCTCACAACAGCATGGGCTACCAATTCTGATACTGCTACGATGCATGTATACTAGAATTGAACAGCTTGAATGAATGGACAGGAGACGGTGGGAGCCAGGTGTCCCATGGTTAGAATGTGAAGGCACAGACAGCACCGGGAAAAGGTTAGAAGGATCCATGTGGTGATGGATTAGAGTCAGAGACGTCATAACAAGTGCATGTTAGGCTTAATATAGATACAGAAGATTATGTATTTAGATAGTGCATACACACAGGTTAGTAAGCACATATATTTCACTGATCTGTTAGCTGAGGGGGCCTAGAAACAATGACACCCCTGGAGCAAAGACCACGCAGAAACCTAACAAAACCTGTCTCAGCAAGGTGATCAAGGTCAGAGCAACGGTGATGAGTCATGTTCTTAGTATGGACCCTGGATATGCTGTGATGAAGATGACACTTTACCTCTTAGCTCTTGTTCATGAACACTTGACAGATCTCATTCTACAAAATCGCTGACCAGGAGTCCTCACAACTGTCAAGGTTGTCAGAAACAGAATATTTGAGAAATTGAGATGGCCAAGAGGTGCCTAAGGAGATGTGACTGCTAAATGTAATGTGGTGTCCTGGAGGGTATCCTGGAACGGGAAAAAAA